GCTAGATCTGATGCATACACTACACAGCAGAACCGCGCAAATATTCAAGTGGTGGCATGACGAAGCAGATCAAGGGCAAGGTAAGTAAATGCTCAGTAATATTAATTGAGGGGTATAAAAGCAAAGGCGCTTCAGTCACAAAAATACCTAGACTGAAAAACCGCAAATTTCCACTGTGTCGTAATAAATTGTATTTTTTATCAGAATCCGATATTGGTACATTCAATAGAATACACTAATCAAATAACAATAATCAAAACAAATAAAATATACATACATTCTTTATAATTTAAGAAATAATGTAGGACTGAGGTGTTTTTGCATTTAAGCGTTGGACTAAAGCATGTTTGCTTTTCATTGCTTTGGATCGAAGCGAATTTGCATGTCACTATTTAATTCGTCAAATGTCAATAAATGGCGGTACCGATTGCAAAATAAAAGAATGTTTTACAAGATTATGAATTTAATTAATTTTGTTAACAAATTAGTTACAGGTACTTAAAAACAGGACATCATATTGTATTATAATTATTTATGAAAAGTAAAGATATAATATTATTCTTGCGCATGTAAAAAAAGTAAAAAGAAACTAAGAATTAAATCATAATATTTGAATCCGCTGTGGGTGGATCGCAGATAGGCTCATCCTCTTGAATTGAATCACTGTTATTATTATTCAAAATATTATTGTAATATTGGAGTTCATTAAGATTTTCCCACTGCGGTCCATAGTGTTTCTCTAACTATTTCCTCACATCATTTTTTTTCTCTGCTTTTAATGTCACATTGTTTTTTGGAAGTGGAACTTATATTTTTGCAGTCGTAAATATTTTTTTTGTTGTGCTGACATGCAGGTAGTTGTGGGAGATCTTTAGCAGAGTACCTTAAGCAAATGAAAAAAAAAACCATTACCAAAAGCAGAAAAAAACTGTTCAGTATACCGCGAATAAAATGTTAGTACGTTACGTGCTTTTACAATTCACTTAAAGAAAATTGAAATAAAATTTTGAAGAAGCATTCTATGCAAACCCTACTTTACCTTTTCATAACGGCCAAAATATTAGTAAATTGTTTGTTACCTTTCTGCTTTTTCCTTCACTCTTCGCCACTGACTTTTATTTACCAGACGTTTCCGTGCTCGTCCTGCACGTGCTGGTGTAATGTTTTCTTCCATTACAATAAGTTACTTAATAAAAAACACAAATTAAACACGCGCTATGCTCAGTCAACTTACTATGAAAAGTAACTAATTCGCCATCTTAGAAATGTTGAAATGGCTGCTTCTGGTTGGTTGATTGTGATCGAGGCGGATTTGCTCCTAACAAATTTTGGATCGAAGCGGTTTTGCATCTAAACGCTACTTTCTAAGTGAATTTTATGTAAGATTGAGGTGGATTTGCATGCTGCCGAATATAATATATTTTTGCATTTTTTTATCGCTACAATTTGGTGTGCTCAGTGTAAAAAACAACATTTTTGGACTGAAGCGCTTTTGCTTCTATACCCCTCAATTGCTAATTATATTTAGCAGGAGAAGTACATTATGACAAAATTTAGAATTTTCATCTTAGACCGTCTATTATTCGATATAATTTATTTATTTGAGACATATTTATTTGTCGGAAGACTTACACTTGAATAATAAAAAAATAACTAATTGTTATATAACACCAAAAAATAGCCAATTATAAGTCTCCACAGTTAGCAACAGACTTTTATTAGTAAATTTTCATTACACATATACACTGAGCACGCACACACTAAGCTTTCATTGCAATTACAATTAATAACCACAATTAGTACTCAATAATATTTACAACTCTTCGGAAAATCGGCTTAGCTGAAGCCGCGTTAGTGTCTAAGAGATCTAGCTTTGCTTGTCTCGATATAGTATATTGTGATATTATTATATTTGACTAAAGAAATATCAACTTAGATACATGAGATGAACGAAGGACGATAGGTTAGAACTGTAGGTTAGGTGTTAGTCTATATACGATACACATTTCGTACAAGTTGTGGTATTTATCGAGTGGAATATTGTAGGTGCAGAAGAATATGATCTGTGGGAAGTAGCGTGGATGCCGCTGCTGCAGGGTATCGCTGAGTTCTGTACGGATAGGAGGAAACAGGTAAGTTACGGTTATTATTTTTCGAACTCTCCTGATACTGTCACGTCGCTCGCCTATTATATAGATCTCGATATAGAATAGTAGAATATTAACGCTTGTTTTTATATATTGTCTTTAAATATTTGATGCGACAGGAATTTCCAATCATGTCAGTAAAGTCATATTATTATATTTATATAGGGAAAAAGTAACAAGTGCTTGAAAAATTCATCAGTCCTGTTAGGTCTTGGGTAGCTCAGTGGTCAGATCAGTCGCCCGGATTGCTAATGGTCATGGATTCAAGTGCCATCTAAGAGTGCCAGGGACAAAGTGGAGCATTTTAAGCATTTTTCATTAAGAATACAGTCATATTATTTGATATTATTTTGAAGTCGAGTCAGTGTTGTAGAGATCTCGCTGCCAGTTGTCATTGGTTAGTTTTGAAACGTGTCGTAGGTGGCGAATAGCGCAATAGCGTACCTGCAGCGCGCGCTGCTGGTGCCGGGGCTGTCGGGGGGCGGGGGCGGGGGCGGGGGCGGAGGCGGGGGCGCGTGGGAGGCGTGCTTCGACCGCGTGCTGTTCCCGCTGCTGGACAAACTGCCGCGCCGCAACCACGTCGCCGCCAGAGCTAACACCATCATGTGCAAGGTCACTACATGTTCCTTTCTCTTTCCTCCTATTGTATTCATTTTTATCTGTATGTTTTGATCATAATCTTTTGTTTAAATGGGGTTAATGGCAGATTGTTAGAGTTCGTCCGGTTCTCAATAACGAAGATCTTGAACATAAAGATACTTTAAAATTGGTTGCCAAAGTTGAATGTAATCAGTTACGTACTGTACGATACGATTTCCAGTCTTACAGCCAGTTGCACAAACAGCTATTAAAATTGTTATTAGTTTAATGCCACATTACCCATACAAATTTTCACATTTAGAACATTCATTAGAGCTTAAAGTCCTCATTAAACCTAAATTGACGTTTGTGCAACTGATCGTAACAAGAGTAAATCTGAACTTTGACACTTTAATCGTTTAAGCGCATCTGTTGTCAGTTAGTATGAATAACCCCAACGTGCGCTACGTTGGTGTTATTCATACTAACTGTGTCGATGGCGGTGGTTGTGGTTCAGGTGTTCCTGCAGCACCTGTCGGCGCTGTCGTCGCGCGGCAGCTTCCCCGCGCTGTGGGCGCGCGTGGTGCACGTGCAGGCGTCCCTCGTGCGCGGCGACGACGCCCTCACTGAGGCCGCACTCGAGTCCCTCAAGAACATGCTACTGGTGATGGACTCCGTGCGGGTCAGTATACCTATACCTCCCTGTCACCTTGAGGGCCAGGTCCGTCGCTCGAGTTCACAAATGATTTTTGGTGACCAGAAATAAACGAGAAACAATATCTACATATGTAGATAGTAGGTTTCATTTTCATTTTTATGTACCTATCGATGACGTCTGCGGTATAATTTTGATAGGGTTTATTCACAGTTCGTAAACGCAGCGTAGAAGGTGGTAATTTATATGCATAATTTCAATTTGTTGTGCGAAACGAATAATCAAATCATCGCACTGTTTTAAGTTTCTGTAACGGCTTTTTGTGTTCTTTTGTAACTGTTGGTTCAAGCGAAAGTTTAAAGAAACTAGAATTTTATTGGCATCTATTAATACCCGACTCTTAATCTGAGATGTTTTTTTTTTCTTTTTTTTTTTTCTTTATTAGGTCCACTTACAGTTTAATGCACTATGTATAGTTTACAGATAATAATTACATCTAATTTAGAGTTAGAGTACATAAACTAATTACAAGCAGACACCACTTACATCAAAGCAGTGTTTTAATATTATAGTATAGTGTGTATTTCACTGATTAATAACAATATTCCTTATTTTACTAGGCGAGTCTAAAAAGATATCTATTTGATTACTATAGCGGTTCAGGATTCGGGATAGACGAGGGACAGCGGATTTGGCACCAAAAACTGTGGATCTAAAAGGCGGACATAGCGGTGTTATGGGTTTTCGAGGCACTTTTCGTGGCACTTTGAATTTAAAAAGAGAAAGTAATGGGGGACAGTTTATTTTACCCGTTAGTATTTTATGTAAGAATAATAAATCGAGTAAATCCCGTCTCTTTTCCAATGATGTCATTTTAAAATGTTTGAGTCTTTCCTCGTAACTTTTGAGACTCTTGGCAATACCTTTTGAATACGACAAGTGTCTCATAAACCTTTTTTGTATTCTTTCTAGACGTAAAGTATGAGTTGCATAATGTGGTCGCCATACGACAATGCCATATTCCAAAATGCTTCGTACCAACGAGTTATATAAAATAATTTTAGTGTGTGTATCTTTGAATACTTTGCCATTTCTGATGACGAATCCAAGCTTCCGTGATGCCTTTTGTACTACATTATCCAGTTGCGGAATGAACGTCAACTTTTGATCAAAAATTATTCCTAAATCTTTGACTACTTCTGATCTCTTTAGCGCGACATTGTGTATATGATATTGTGTCGATATAAATGCAGTTTTACGTGTAAAATGGACTTGCCGGCATTTTGAAGCATTAAGTTCCATTCCATTTATCCTACACCAATTAACAAGGCTGTTAAGGTCATCTTGCATCTTCAGAGAATCATCATCCGACTTTACAATAAGTCCCAATTTAAGATCGTCAGCATAGAGGAAATGTGATGCATATTTTAAACAGTTAGGCAAATCATTAATGAATATATTAAACAGAATTGGTCCGAGATGTGACCCCTGAGAAACACCTGATAATATATTATAAGCATTTGAACTATATCCATTAACTACCACATAAAACCTTCTTTTGAAAGTATATACCTATATAAGACATAATATCACATCCTGTTAGTGGGATTAGTGTCTTGTATAAAGGATTTTTTTTACATAAAATAAAATAAAATCTGTACTTGTTTAACTCCAATGAAATTTAAATTTCTTCTTCATATAGATCTTCAACAACGGTGATGCACACAACGAATTATGGTACATGACCTGGGAAAAGATCGGAGAATTTTTACCTAACCTGAAGGATGAACTCTTCCCTCAAGGTATATATTAAGCCAATCTTTTTGTATTTTAACATTTATGTATGTCAATGGTTAATACAACATATTGGAGAATTATGAAATGTCCCTTAATACTTAGTTTACATAAAATATGAGATTTGACTATTTTTGGAAGCATTTTAAATATAATATTCAGAATCTTCCATTAAATAAAGTGTTTTTTTTTAATTGTATTGTTTATCGAGTTATTTGAGATAGCATTATTTTGTCTTAGCTAAAGAATCTGCCGCTTCGGATGTTCCTGGTTCAGTACAAACGCCGCTGGTGGTGCCGAATCTAATGGCAGTTCCTAACAGTACGCCTCCTAATCCAATATCGAATTCACCACCTGACAGACACCCTGTACACGCCCAAACACCGATACACTCTGGTCAGACCTCCCCAGTCACCATCGTTACTCCCATAGTGACTCCCGTCACGCCCACAGTAACCCCCGGTATGGTGCCCATACGAAACCCCCTCTACGACCAAGCAGGACTCACCTCATCAGTTCTACTGCAGCCTTTGAACGAGGTAGGCAAGAAGAAAACAATCTGACTTAAAAACAAAAACTTATATCATAAATTAATTAAAGTACTTTTAATCTGTTAAGGTAATTAACGAATATCTAAATTTAATGCGAATTCATATTAGAAACGACACATTAGCTTCGTTCAATAAATATCATAATTTTGCTAAAATATCAATTAAAAGGTGTATGTTTCGTTTTCTAGATGATATCCACACCGATAGGTATATCGATACAGTCACAAATACCGATCCTGTACCCGCAGACCACCACAGAACTCCTTCAGACTCAAAACGCACCGACGCAGCCGAGCAAAACTGAACTCAATTCGGTATCAACAGAGCCTATGTTACCACATCCGGTTGAACCCGTCGATATACAGCGGGGCGAATTGTACGCAGAGTATCTGACGAATCCGTATCACGAGACTAAAGATTTATCTTCGAAAGATGCCACATTATACGATCCAGAAAGTCTTACTATTGACCGAACAGTGCAGAGCCATGAAAGTAGCGACTTGCGGAATCCTTTACTGGACGTTTTAGAGAAACAGAAATCGTTGAGTGCGAACGCCACCCCTATGCATAATGCGAATAAAGCTCAATTCGGATCTAGCGACAACGTGCGACAGGAGTCTAGTATATTCAATTTCACCAGTTACTTCGGCTCAGTGAACGAAAGGAACTCTGAGGTGTTCGACACGCTCATGTCCACGCAGGAGGGATAGCTCGATTGTGACGTGGGCACTTGGCTATAAATTAGTCTAAATTATACAATTGATTAAATACAAAGTCATGTAAAATTATCACAATTCTCAGAAAAAGAGTTTTGCAATTATACTATAATATTTTATTAGTCAACGTACTTGGAATTAATTTTATTTCATGTGATTGTATAATCACGTTTGAAAATATGTGTAATTTTGATGATAACTTTCTTATTGCAAAGAGAATAAGGTATAAATTTTTATGACTTTGTAATTTATGATATACTGTAATATATTTAAACTGTTGTTTCCTAGTTGAAAATTAATCTTGTCAAATTATACACGAGCGTCAAAATTCACATCGATATTATATTCAGAATTAAAATCGTCGCAGACTAGTTAGTTGTCAGTATAGTTGTGTAAATTCGATCTGATCATATATAAATAAATAAATAAAAAACGTAACTACATAGTAGCTTTGGAATGTGAAATAAATATAAAATTATTATAAATTATTTAACTGATTGATAATCAACTGATTTTGATCAAATATAGCTTAGTTTGACTTTACACAACCCCTGACAATGATAGATGGCGCTAACTGTACTTATATAAATATGAAAGTATTTTTAATTGAATATTAAAAAGAATTATAAATCATTTACTGTTTTTTAGCATTCATTAAAGTGTTCTTGATACAAATTATTATTTTAATATATTTTAACTGTTATATAAAACTTAAAATTATTGGATATAATTAAGAAGCAAGTTATGACCTTCGTGGGCTTGAAAACAATTTCTTATATTTTATCCGTCTTTTTTTAATTATATTTAATGTTCTATATTACGTTATGACATGAACTGTATGTTTTACACATTACTGACTATTTGCAAAAGGCTATGTAGCGTTAACAGAAATATACTAACCGTTCACTTCGAGTTGGCCATTGACGAGTACGTTACTAAATGACGTCATAGGCACATGAACTGGTACCGTCGACAAAGGAATAATAATAAGCTAGTTGGCTATTTTTTTTGTTTTACAAATAATTAGGTCGTTATATCTGAGAAACAATGTATAAGTAGTAGCATGTCTGCGATTAACAGTTTCGATACGGTGCTATGGAACTCTGCTAGTCGGCCGAAAGGCGTCTTACGTATGGGCGCATGGCCAATCTTTGTAATATCTTTGGTATTTGTGTTATAAACATAATCATTTATAGTTGTTTCAATGAAAGTAAATATTTTAATGCCGTAAGTATTATACATACCACGATTTATAAAATTCTTATCGATATAACGATTCTTATCGATTTTGACACTATGTCCACCATTTGTGTTTCTAAATGCAATAAAGAGAAAAGATCAGTGGCTGGCACGGACAGACGCACGTGATATCTCTGCTGACCGTACGGACAGGTGAAGTTTGAGGGGTGATAGCGGTCAACCTGAAGCGAACGGCAAGTAGGCCTACCAGATTTTAGTTAATTTTGTTAAACATTTAAAACTAATAGTATGGTCGTGAGTATATCAGTTTATGCAAAACTGTCAAATTCTTCCGCTTTATTTTAAACTTCAGTTTCTTAAAATATAAGCTCAAAATCTATTGTGGAAAGTTGACATTTTGTAGAAAATTGATATGCTACTTTGTCTTACTGAGAGATGTAACAGGGAATCATATGGACGCATGAAAGGTAATATTCATTAAACGACTTTTTGCGCCTACATTTGAGTTTCACATACAGTTTTGTCGTGTCATGAAGAAGTGTGTCTGAAGGATATTTCCGGTTTGTTTCGGAAAATTCAGATTTTCAATATTGTCTTTCAAGCGTCGATAATGTATTTCGGCCTAAAGCTTTAATATATACACATTTAGTTTACGGGTGGTACAAAGATTGCCGAGTGATACTTTTCAACATAAAAGGATTTCATCTAAGTTAGATCAACAGATTACAGTCAACCTTCAGTTAATTTTTTTTTGTTAGTCAGCCGTTGTTTTTTTTTTATTTAATGCAATACAATTTATTGCTGCAACTTTTTGTCGCCAGAATACAGCGGTAGCACATGCATTAAATACTTTTTTTTGTAAACGTCAAACGTCATTCATGGAGTAGTGAGTAAAGAGTAAACTAATAGAGTGACCATAGATAATCTAATTTTATCCAATACGTATCATTGATGTATATTTGGGTGTAAGAAAGAAGTCATTCATTTCCAAAAGACTAAATGTTCGTTAGAATTGTTTTTACTATTCGTGCTCGTATTGCCATTTACGAGCTTCGCATATTATTCCCTATTGAAAATAAACATCGCAGAATTTTAAGCCGTTTTTATAGAAAACTTTAATAGTATGTAACATACAGGTGCCTTAAGGGTGGTAAAAGAATTCTAGGTGTACCGTTCGAGTGTTCACGCAACATGTCTAAAAATATTTACTGTTTTATTTCATGTGCACTAAGGTTGATTATCTGCATGTTTTTTTACGACTGGTTTTTGAAAACAGTGGCATATAATATAGCACTGCTTTATACACTATATAATTAAAGACCACTGTGATATCAAGATGTTGCCATCTCTGAGGTCCCGGGTTCAATTCTCGGTGAGTCAATGTAGACATTAAATCTTTGTACTTTAAATACATCGATAAATCACTTCACCGAAGTGACTTCTACTATTGCAATTGATATTAATTTTCAAAGTTAGGTTCAGAATACGTTGTAATACGTATGTATTATGATAATAGTTTATGTGTATCTGTGGTTTATTGTAGTACGAGGCATTTGTTTATTTGGCTGTCGGCAACTGTAGTGTGATGATCAAGTTGTGGCAGCGAAGTTAATATTCGCTATTCCAAGTTTAGATCAAATCTGATATGTGTGATTAGTATCATCTAGCGATCTTATGTAACATACAGCTCTAATTCAATTATCTGATTCGTACATTCCAGGCCATTCTAGTGTATTATGTGTTATTGGTTCATATGTGCTATATTCATTTCTTTCAAAAAGAAGTTCTGTAAATGTAATTCACTATATCGATGTTTTTTTTTTATATGGAAATAATTCAAGGGTTATAGTTTTGAATTGTAAAGTTTGTACATTATGTATCATAGTAAAGTTCAGTTTTGTATAGAGAGTATCTACAGGAAAAGTGTAACTGTAATTTATATCGTATGTTTAACGATTTATTAATAAAAGTGTTTAACATATATAAGTTTTTGATACTTTGAATTTACCTTTTGCTTAAGCGGCGCGTTCGGCTCACTCGAGCTGTTAATATTTTAGGTACGAAAATGAAACGATTCAATAAATAGTCAACAGAATATAATCAACATTTACAATATTTACATACATATTTACAAATCGAGAACGCCTTCACGGAAGGCAACAGGACACTAGGGATCTCACTGCGAAATGTTTGTAGTCATAAATAGTTGAAACAGTTTTCACTCGCGATTCGTCACACGCGCGACACCGGCAGAGGTCTCTTATAGTAAGGGTGCGGCGGGCGCAGGAGGGGCGGGGAGCAACACGGGGCCTTCCGCGGGGGACACAGCGCCCGTCGCCACACCGCCGCCGACTTGCGCGACCACGCCCACGCGCCCGCTCCCGCCCCGCCCGCCGCGCACGCTCCCGCCGCCAGGGAGCGCCCGCCCCCTCCTGCGCCCGCCGCCAGCGCCGCACCTGCCGCCAGCGCCGCCAGCGCCAGGTACAGCAAGCCCGCCAACGCTGCGCGTATCGCCAATCGCCCCACGCGCCGCGCCCCTCGCGCGTCCAGCGCGCGCCGCACGCGCACGATGCCCGGCCCCGCGCCCGCCGCCAGCGCGGCCGCCGCCGCCAGCAGCGCGCCCCGCGGGACGCCCACGAGCGCGGCGGCCGCCTCGTCCGCCACGCCGCACGTGCCGGTCAGTTCGTCGGCGGTGACGCGCCGGAGCGCGAGCGCGGCGGCGGTCCACGCGCCCGCCCAGCCCCAGGCTACCGCGTGCAGGTACGCCGCCGCCCGCTCGAGCGCCTCCGTCGACCACTCGCTCGCCGCCGTCAGGTACCACGCGACGCACGCGTTCGCGAACCACGCGTCCGCCGCGAGAGTGAAGTAGTAAGTGAGCGCGAAGAATGCGACGCACGTCGGCGACGCGAGCCCGTCGACGGCGAGCGCGGCGCCCGCGCACGAGATCGGCCGCGGACCGAGCCAGCCTCGCGTCACGTAGGCTAGCGCGACGACCGCGTGGCACGCCGCCATCCAGACGACTGGCCGCTCCGGGTACCGGTACCTCGACGGCTCCGCGCAGAAAGTGAGCAGCGCGAACGTGGTCGACAGCAGCGAAATCCAGGCGAGCGTGATCATCCACAGCTCGGCGGTGCGCTTCTCGGGCTGCGTGTAGGCGGCGGGCGAGCCGCAGGCGGGCCAGCAGTCGCCGGTGGGCGCGCGCGTGTGCGCCGGCGGGCAGCCGTGGTCGCCGAGCTCGGGGTCGCGGAACGGCCAGCGCGGCGGCGGCGGCGGCTCCGGCTCGAGCTCGCTCGCGTTCGGTGGACGCATGCACAGGCGGCGGTCGGCGCGCCGCGGGAACGCCGCGCAGTCGAGGGCGAGGCGCGGCGGCAGCGCGCGCAGTCGCTCCGCGCACTCGTCGGACACGGACTCGCACAGCGCCCGGCACGCGCTCACCGACCCCGACACCTGCTCCGAGCATAGCGGCGCGAACGCCGAGCACAGGAGGAAGCGGGCGTGCGGCGAACAACCGCTCGTGAGGATGCCGGCGAACATCACCATCTGAAAAGAAATAACGCCCTCGTTAGGATTTTGCCGAAAATCGTCTCGGCGTCGTCGTTCTCGTAATGGGGATAAACAAAAACTCGCAAATTAGCGCAGCGCGAGACAACGGCAAGGTCGCCAGAGCGACGAGTTTTTGTCTATATTCGGACGTCACCGAATCTAAATGAAGAGTTGTAAGGTTCGATCTTTGTCCTGACTTATAAGACAGACGTCTGTCATGACGATTTGCCCGTGGCAATGTACATTTCATTCTTAAAAAATAAATTGATCATTATGTCGTGAGTAATTTTAATTACTTTTGTTAAATTGTGGAACCATAAAATGAATGCCGAGGAAGTTTCTTAGGACCGAAGACAAAGAAATTTTTACTGTCCACAATTATGAAGGCGGTCTCATCGTTTGAATCTACAAAATTTGAGCTGCAAATTACAAAAACAGGATGGCGATGAGTGACATTGCGACAGGTAGCAGCGAAATAGCAGAGCCAATTATTTATTTCCCTGTGCCCGCGCAGCTCGAGTTTTTCAATGGCTGCCGCGCGTCGCCGGGTAATTGTCGCGGCCGACAAAAAAATCCCCTTATAGTCGTCGCCGGCCTTGGATTACTCTCAAGCTGAATGATGAATTACTTAACAACAAATTAGTACAATGAGGATATCTTTAGTAATATAATAACACCCGCGGATATAATATGCCCTATTGGATTTGAAATGCATCTGCAGTTGTAATGAAGGCTTCGAACTGATGGCAATATAATTTGATTTCGTTTTTAATTTACGATAATCTTTTTATTTTAAATTATTTTTCATTAGTTTAATTAATATTTTGATAGTAAAATAATATCAATGTAAAAAAAATAAAAAAAGTAAAAATATTTTATTTCAAGATCAGAAATGATGTAAACATTTGTAATGGACAAAATAAATATCTGTACCAGAAATAGTCCGCTCTTCCATAATACATTTGATATTTCGTTTATTATAATTGTCTTCACTTATTACATAGTACTCGCCTTGTGAAAAAAAAAAAAAAAAACATTAACAATGTATAACAGTTATAAATGAACTAGCTTTGTATTTTTAATTTTTAGGACATAAAAGGCGTATAATATGATGAGAAAACAAACTAATGTATGGACGGAGTCGCGGAAAAACAGCTATTATGAGATAAAGGAAAATGTAATAATTCTTGTAAAACTTGCAGATTTACCTACATAAGTATACAATAAATGTAGACAACGGTTTACAATTCGATTAATAACTGGAGCACTCGTATACTAATATTAGTTCAAAGCGATACGCACCGCTCGATTATGGCAGTTATCAAGACTTCAAAGGCGGCAAAATTGCCGGCTAATTCAATCAGGCGTAGATAAGGACATCAAACGAACCGAATGGCACCGTTACATCGGAGTATGTCTTTGATATTTGTGCTTTCCTAAGACTCCCTTTTATCCATTACAACTAGTTTCTTGCTAATTTCTATATGTAACAAGTTTGTTAGGAAAGAATTTTATAACCTGGTTATGATAAGAATATTTCTCGACTAACCAAGAAATGTTTAGTAACGCATCGTCTTACAAAAATAAACTTCGCAATTTGTGAATGTAACTGAACAATGATCAGTTTTTCATTGGATTTCTACCCGGATTATTCGGACTGCTTCACACGACTCGACTATATCTGATTATAGAACGGTAGACTGCACTCAAAAAGGTTCATTCCGAGTTCTTTTTACGTGTACAATTTCATTCCGTCCACAATAGCGAACAAACAAGACTGTTTGCGCTCCGAAGAGGTTCGGCGGTGCCACTTAGAGCTTTTGTTGAAGGGAAATACTTGTACAGTTATTTTTTTTTATGTCCTATTTGCTGAAAGTAAATACACTGCTTTGAGCATTAGTGATGTTACATAAAACGTATAGTATTGTGACAGCTAAAACGTTACTTGAGTACTTATCTAACGCGTGTTATAATAATATAATTGCTTATTAAATTTTTGATACGCCAATGTTCTAATCAACCAAAAAATATCTTTATTTTAAGGGAGACGACGCTTTATGTAGAAAACCTTCATTACGTAAAAATAGTACAGAGCTTCTATGATTTAAAGCTGAATCTACAATCAGTTTAAAATTGTATCAGAGATTTCGACAATCCGTGTTGCTAATGACGTGTTTTACATAATATATACTTAAGTAATATCTTTACTATACCTATACGGATAATACCTAATGAGAAAGAAGTAAGTATACGTATTAATTTCCAACCATAGTTTCTTTAAAAGCGTTGTAGTGTCGGCCTCGGTAAATATTAGCTCACACAAGTGGAGTCGGATGTTTTCAGATCATATACAAGAGCACCCATTGATATCATACCACTTTACCTACTTGCACAACGTTCAGTTTGTTGGATTCATTGTATTTTTTATCTTGTGTCGTCTATATAGAGTCCATAGGATTATAATGAAATTGTCCGCTTCGTTATAGCTTTGAGGCTTAGTTTACTCTAGTTAATCCATTGAGTTCTTGGAGTTTCTGTTATTTATTTGTCCGGTTGAATAAATATGAAGCGGCTAAACGGATTGATGTTTATTGATACTTTACGATGAGTAATCTTTGATGTTCACAATAACTGTTGCGTATGCAAAACATATATGTTTGTTAAAAGAGGTTGATTATTTTTAAGATTTCTATTATGATGTGTGTCCTATGATTAGTCATTTACGATATAGAAACATGACGTTACAATGTCTTGGTTCAAATGTTCAAATACAGGTAATGTAGTACATTAGGTAATCATATCATCGTATCCGATTTTGAAAACTTAACCTTAACTTATAATATGTTAAGGTTAAATTTGCCTACAGACTGAGACGATTTTTCTTTATTTAGTGAAAGTAACAAATACCTATACCTATACGTAATTATATAGATCAGTGGTTCTCAATCCATTTTTGGTGATGGAACAAATATTCGCAGGGCTGCAATTAGTGCTTTTCGGAGCATTTGGAGCCTAATCGGAGAATCAATAATAGACGAAACTTAAGCTTAGGTGAATGCGGCCACATAAATATAATATTTGAAGTATAAAATGACCAATAACGGACAAGCATAAACATAATTGTTTATGATAAATAAAAAAACCTATGCAAATACGTATGATATATAGAACATGTTTTTTTTTCAACTAACAAAATGCTAACGTGTTTATAAAAGTCAGTGCCAGATTACAATACGCGTATCACATTTTATGATGACATTATCATGTTAACATGATAGCACTTTACATACCGAGGGAACGGATGCTACGAGCACAAAACGTGATATTAACAATAGACAGGGGTTTCTAATACATTTTCTGTCTATCATTTTTAGTTGTTGATAAGCCTTAAATGATGTAACTTATCGATGCGTGCAGTAATGGGTTTTCATCAATCACAGTCGCGCGTGACAGAGACAAGAATAACACGCCCTCTGTCTTCGTTTATCGTGTTCATTAAGGTTTATCTATTGGTGAAGTGTGGTGTTGTACTAATACATGTATAGTATATTTTTAAATGTAATGAAATCTCTATTTCCGATTGCGATGTGTGCCTACTTGTCTACATTTTTTTTAAGAGTTACAAGTTATGGAGGTTCCTTTTAAAATTTTTAAAGAAAGTCTTTAAAAATTGAATAGAAAGATTACTGGCGTTTAGCAAAGGCAAATGAAACGTAATTTTTAATTTACCGTTCTTAACCAAAACTCTATTATATTTACAATATTTACCAGAAGAAATTGATATATTAAATTATAATATTCCTTAAAGTTTCTTTCTATCTTATTTTGAATCAATAATAAGTTGTTCAAATCAAAAAAACTAAGTTAAAGATTGATGGATAAACTACGTAAAAAATCAAAAGGAAAATTATTGTCAGCGTCTCCTTTGAAGGAGGATGATCTAACAACAAAGGACGACAGCCACGACAAAAAAAAATTAATTACGAGCCGTGTCCGAAAATAGCCGAGCGCTCCTGCGCACTACGTGGCGCTACGCTTTGATCTCTGCGGACGCTGCGTCAGCTGCGTTTCACGGATGGCTTGCGACGGTTTGTTTTGAGGATAACATAGTATTTATACGTACTAATATAGTATAATTTATAAGATAACATAGTATAATACGTTTTGGAATATAGAATATACAAATGTGGAATATCAATATGTGTTATTCAAAAACACCTGAAAAATGAAAGTAAATCTGTATAGTAATATAATCAATCTAAATCTTATGTACGATAGATTGAAGAAAATAAACACTACTGTCTGTAAGTAACTTTAACTGCCCCTAAATCAGTATATAAATATCTATTATTAACCTTCTTGACGTCCAACGCACCCTTGTTCGGTTGAATAAAGTGAGGTGATAAATATTGTGCAGTGTTTTGTTTGATCGTGACTGTAACGCGGACTCTTTGATGTCACGTGCGATAATACGCGTGTCACTTTAGTTATGCACGCAAACACGCATTATGTGCTGTAATAAATGTTAGCTTAAAATTTTACGAGAAATAATTAGCAAATTCTGTGAGTAGTATTACGTCCAAGTTCTTGTTTTAACGCTTGTCACACATTATTTCTAATGTCACACATTTTATGCCATCTTAAGCCCGTTTTCATTAAACTTTGGAGTCGCTTAAATCTGTCTCCGAAATATTTAGGAATCGCTTAGGGTGAAAATGCGTTTCACCAATGACTAAGAACTACCTAATGATATTAAGCAATGTTTAAAATCATGATTGCGTTTTAAGGCGCCTTCCGCTAGGTATCTCCGTAATATGACAGTTCACAAATCTGCCATAAGTTAGAAAAGTTTTTTGGAATTAAACTCATTTGTTTAGGTGATACATGAGATTAGGCGTTTCCTAGTTAGGCTATTCTTTCGTCTAGGTTAATGAAAACGGGTGTTACTCATTTTGCGTAGGTGGTGTTTGTTTCAATGATCCAGAAAAAAAAGGTTA